CCAGTAGAACCCCAACAGTTCGAGACTGGTCACTCACAGACTATAGCCTCTGCCCAGCTTCATAGCCAAAGCTACTACCATTAGGACTAGCATGCAGGATCTCTAAAATGAAACAATTGCTGAAAGGGGATACAAAACAAAAGTGACCGCTTATATCTCACGATATTGGTAGCCACCATGCATCTCACCCCTCCCAACAATTACTCCACAAGCCTGCTAGTCCATGAATGGTCCCCCACAGACTAACCTATGCACGTTTCCGTAGCCGAAACTACTACCATTTGGAATGACCATTAAGAGAGAATGAGAGTAAGGGTCAGTCTTAGTCTTATAGTTTTGAAAAAAAAATCCTTTGGTACATATATCCTACACTCTATCAGTGTCCCTCAATCCAAATTTAAGCTCCATAGGTTTGCCAAATTGAAATGGTACCATATTTAGTACGGCTGAAGCTAGAACGGTGAAGATCACTCATAGCCCGAAGTTGTCAGAAAAGGCTGGATTTTTGGAAATTCGTTCCGTTATAGTATATATTTCCAAAAACCCAGACCTATCTGATCTCTTCGGAGTGAACTTCATCGTTCTAGTTTCAGCCGTACTAAATATGGTACCATTTGAATTTGGCAAACCTGTGGAGCTAAAACGCTTAACTTTGGAATGATGATCACTTATAGAGTGTAGGATAGATGTACCAAAGGGGTTTTTTTGGAAATTCGAAATATAATCTCTTCGGAGTGAACTTCATCGTTCTAGTTTCAGCCGTACTAAATATGGTACCATTTGAATTTGGCAAACCTGTGGAGCTAAAACGCTTAACTTTGGAATGAGGATCACTTATAGAGTGTAGGATAGAGGTACCAAAGGGGTTTTTTTGGAAATTCGAAATATAACTATCCCAAAAGTTCATAGAGTATAAATCCTGCAATTTGTAATTAAGTGTACTGTTGGAGTGTAGGATTTGGGTGAACCGATCGTGCGGAAATCCTGAAATTCAGAAATATTTATGTTGGATTGCTGCTGTAAGTAGTTTTTGTAGTAATGTGTACTAAATGGTACTAAATTTATACAATTTGGATTTTAGTATGAGCCAATAGAGCTGGAATCCTGAAATTTGGTATTATGATTACTGTTGGAGTGTAGGATTGGTTCATGGATGTAGTTTTGGAATTTTGTACCTATGGGTACTAAATCTAGATTAAGTGAACCGATAGACTTTAATCCTGAAATTTGGAATTACGATTAGTGTTGGAGTGTAGGATTGCTAATATTTGGAAATTAGTATTTATGTTTATTTAATCGTGCTACAGTTGATACAATTTGGATTTGTGTAAACCGATCGGGCTGAAATCCTCAAATTGGGTTTTGGAAATTAGTCCTTGTGTGTACTAAATGGTACTAAATTTGGTACTATAAGAAAACAAGGCTACTAAATGGAACAACATTTTTAATTGTTGGTCGATGTTGGTGTATAGGTTGACTAGTTCTTCTGACAAAAGTATTTTTCTGTGGAAACAAAATAAAATCTTGCTGGTGCGCACGATAACTCTTAAAGGCCGTAACCGATTTCATTCAAACATTGCACATCTTTACCAAGCCTAGATCAAGTAGGAAGATTGGACCCAATGGTCCACTCCTTCTAGTACCTCCCCCACAAATGGTAAAAATTTTCAATATTTGTAAATCCAATATCAGGCTAATGGAATGTCCGATTTGAGACAAACTTTGCACAATCCATTATCTTTACGAAGTCTACATTGAGTCCAAAGATGGGACCCATTGGTTCTTTATAGATCCAAACTTATAGCTCTGATAATAATGAGAAAATTTTCTTTAAATATCCACGGTTTTTGCTCTGATAATAATGAGAAAAATGTTTTTTTTTTCAAAAATCCACGCATTCAGCTCTAAGAATATTGTTTAGAAATTCACGCTGATAGCTTTGAAAATAGTGGAAAATATATTCTTAAAAAATATAGCTCTCATAATAATAGGGAAATATTCTTTTAAAAGCCACGCTTATTGTTTTTATCTCTGATAAAAATCAGAAAAATATTCACAGAAAATTCACACATGAAATTTTAAAAAATCACAAAATTCAGATCTGATAATTATTAAGAAAAAATTGAAAAATAGAAATTGTATTCTAATTTGTTTGCTATTTTTTCGACCATTAGTGTATACAATGCAAGTATGTTTGTAATAAGTATGTAGTTTTGCCATTAAAAGCTGTATTTCCATATATGAGGGTACATATATTTAATTACTAATTTACATAGTTACCCGGCGATTCAAGTCATAATTTTACATTTATCCATTGTTTATACTAGCGGTATGCAAATGATTTGCAAAAACAAATATATTCTATGTTTTGTATAGTGGCAATAATATTTCCGTTATTCTTTTAAATATTAAAATAAAAGTAGGAATTTTATTGCTTACAATAGGGGGAAGTTTCTTTGCAAAAAAAACTTCCCCGCATAAATAGCGTATTCGACAGGTTTATGATTAATAAATTCCAGGGAAATCAATTGTGAACACCACAAAATGCATTCCGAAAAAAAACATCTACCCTAATAATTCACTCAATTGGTATTGAGTTATTTCTTTGTGGTAATGAAATGATTAATATAACAAAAAATAATTGTTAAGCACTGGACTTTTCAATTCATGAATTTGTTTCATATAATTGTTGTGAATTTTGTGATTGATAACCATAATAATAAACAGTTAACATAATTGAAAAAAAAAAAAAAATAAATACTTAAATTTTACACACACGCCCCACTACCCCCAATTTAATGGATGGAAATAAACGTGCCTACATAACTATCTTTGTTCATATTTATTTTCAATTTGTTCCAAACATAACTAACGGAGACAAGCGTATGTTAGCCGCATTATGGACCATTTTATGTAACCAAACCCGAACTTTAATAGGTTCAGGTAATGTGCATAAACCCAATTATCACATAGACATAACTACAAAGCATATTCACATGTACAAGTACATTCACACGTTGGTACATAATTAAATTAACAGCATATACGACCATGCATAATACCCTACACTATTAAACATGTTACTAAATAATTATCAGAGCTATAAGCGTGGATTTTTAATAAATATTTCCCCATTATTATCAAGAGCTATAAGCGCGAATTTGTAAACAATATTTTCCCATTATTATCAGGAGCTATAAACGCGAATTTTTAAACAATATTTTCCCATTATTATCAGGAGCTATAAACGCGAATTTTTAAACAATATTTTCCCCATTCTTATCCGGAGCTATAAACGCGAATTTTTAAACAATATTTTCCCCATTCTTATCCGGAGCTATTAGCGTTGATTTGTTAAGAATAATTTTCCCATTATTATCATTAGCTATAAACGTGGATCCCCATTATTATGTGAGCTATATGAGTCGATTTTTAAAGAGCATTTTTCCCATTACTTTCTGATCAATAAGCGTGGATTTTAAAGAAAAATTTTCCTTTATCTTTGTTGTATTAGTTCGGCTGTAGGCTTTTTAAAAGTAAAAATCGTTTCTAATTCTGATTTTTAATATTTATTGTTTCCAATATTTCGATTGGATTCTCCAATCATCCTCAGGGAATTGAAGAAAGTTATGTTGTCTTTAAGTCAACGTTCTTACTTCAATTTTCCCATTATTTTCAGAGCAATAAGCGTGGATTTTGAAAAAAAAAACATTTTCCCATTATCAGGAGCTATAAGCGTGGATTTTTTGTAAAGAATATTTTTCCCATTATTATCAGGAGCTATAAGCGTGGGTTTTTAAAGATTATTTTTCCCATTGTAATCAGGAGCTATAAGCGTGGATTTTTAGAGAATATTTTCCCCGCTATTATCAGATCTATAAACGGTGATTTGTAGAGAATATTTTCCCCGCTATTTTCAGATCTATAAACGTGGATTTTTATAGAATATTTTTCCCCATATTATCAGAGCTATAAGCGTGCATTATTTAAGGATACTTTCCCCATTATCAAGAGCTATAAGCGTAGATTTTTAAAGAATATTTTTCTCATTATCAGAGCTATAAGCATGGATTTTTAAAGAATATTTTTCCCATTATTATCAGAGCTACAAGCATGGATTTTTAAAGTATATTTTTCCCATTATTATCAGGAGCTATAAGCGTGAATTTTTATAGATTATTTACCCCATTATTATGAGAGCTTAAAGGATTTTTAAGGTATATATTTTTTCAGAGCTTAAAAATCACAATTGTTCGATAGGTTTTTTGATTGACACACACGAATTTTAATATCCATTCCCTTAAACAACACTATTTTAAGTTTTTATTCTCTCCTGGAGATGTTATGCTGCTGTAGCAGACACATCCATCTCTCAAAGCGTCCATGGGATCTGTGCAGCCAAATGATTGGAGATTTTTGTCTGCGTTTCCGTTCACAGCGATGACAAAGCTAAGCATTTAACGGTGCGAAGTTGTGGCGTTAAGACGTGATTTGAATTCAATCTTAGTGTAAATCACAGATGTCATAACTTAGCTAAGTGCAAAACAACAGAAATTGTGTAAAAAAATATACAAAACAAATAAAGTGGGCTAAACCAAAAGAAGATCGCTTCAAAACAGCAATTTGCAAATAAAAAAAAACAAAATTCAATTCTAAAAAAGTTCATAAAAAATTATCTTGCCACAGACAAGAAGAAATTGGAATACATGTGTGTGACTGTGTCCGAATAACATTACGCATACAGATAACATTATAGACATTCTTCGGGACTTAATGCAGTGCGGACGGGACTTTGCCATGGAAGTAGTAAAAAATTAAAAAAAGTTATTTTTTAGAACAAAAAAATATATCTTATTTGTATTCCCAATGGATTTTAGAATACGACGGTGATTTGTCATTCTATATAAATATAACATCTTGCCATTCAAAAGTAACAAGTCTTGAAGAACCACTGCATGTGAAAAGAACAAATTGAGAGGATTTTGAAAATACTCAACATTATGAAATTCCTGCAAAGTGCTGTGTTCGTTTTACTATTTACAATCTGTTACCTCGATTTGTGTTCGACATTATTTTTTAAGCCATGGATAAAGAGTTTAAGGAAGTCTGTGGGATATGGCAACACTGGACGTTATTATGGTTATCAAAATCCCTATTACGGTTACAATAGTAATTATTACAATTATGGTTATTTTGGCAGCGGCGGTGGAGGAGGTTATAATAGACCCGGCAGACGTCCTGGTGGCAAACGTACTGGTCGCACTTATTCCGACATTGCAAGAGTAGTAAATCCAAATCCATATGCTTTTGTCGGTCAACGACCATATCCAGCACAACCATTTTATCCTATCGGTTAATAATTTAATAGTAAATAAAACAGTATAGTGTTTAAATTAATTATAATAAGGTATTATTAAGTTTAATGGAAATATTGTAAATAAAATTTAAAATATAAATAAATAAAAAATGTCTGATAATAATGAGAAACCTATTCTTTAAATATCCACGCTTATAAATCCGTTAATAATGGAAAAAATAAAAATCCTCTCCTATAGCTCAAATAATAATGGGAAAAGTATTCTTTAAAAATCCACGCTTATAGCTCTAATAGAGAGATTCACGCTTAAAACTCTGATAATAGCTCAGATAATAATGATAATAGGGAAAAGTATTCTTTAAAAATCCACGCTTATAGCTCTGATTCACGCTTCTAGCTCAGATAATAATGGGGAAAATATTCTTTAAAAATCCACGCTTATAGCTCTGATAATAATGGGGAAAATATTCTTTAAAAATCCACGCTTATAGCTCCTAATAATAATGGGAAAAATATACTTTAAAAATGCACGCTTATAGCTCTGATAATAATGGGAAAAGTATTCTTTAAAAATCCACGCTTATAGCTCTGATAATAATGGGAAATATTCTTTAAATAACCACCCTTATAGCTCTGGTAATATTGGAGAAAATATTCTTTCAAAATCCACGCTTATAGTTTTTTTGGAGAATATAAATAAAATACAACGCTTGTAACAATAGTGGGAAAGTATTGTTTAGAAATCTATGGTTAGAGATTCTGATAGTAACGGGAAACGTATTCCTTGAAAATCCACGCTTACAGTTGACAATAAGGAGAAAATATACTTATAGCTCTGATAGTAATGAGAAAATTATTATTTAGAAATCTATGCTTAGAGGCTCTGATAGTAACGGGTAGAATATTCTTTAAGAATCCACGCTTATAGCTTTGTCGATAATGGGGAAAATATTCATTAAAATTCCACGCTTATAGGCTCTGCTGATTTTAAAAATAAAAAATTAATTTTAAGGAATTTTCACAAAAATACCTAGCGCCCAGAATAAAATAGCCGTTGCCCACCAAAATATAAAAAATGTCGGCCTGGCAATTACCTACCAAAAATGCAACATTTTGCCTAAAAGTATGCTACAAATTTTGTAATTTCTTAGTATGGCCTTGCCAAATGCAATTTTTTCTACATTTAAATTTTTATGGCGGATTGCTTACTATTTTATACTGGGTGCCTGATATTTCTGTGAAATTTGTCCAAAAATGTGCAGGCTAAAGAAAAATTGTGACGTCATTACATAAATATATTTCTCGCAGCCATACACTTCCTTGTAGAATTTTATGAAGGATGTTTTGGGAAATTTGTACTAATGTGTACTAAATTTGCTACAGTTTGGATTTAGGTAAACCAATAGAACTGGAATCCTGAAAACCAGAATTAAGTTTACTGCTGTGTAGGGTATACAAATTCAATGAAATATTTGAAATAAAAATTGCTTTAAATATATTTAATTTACACTTTATTTTTATTATTAAAGAACAAAATTTCCGAACATTATAACTTAAGAACTAAATTAAACTATATATAAACTATTATCCGGGTTTACCCACGTTGGCAAATGGATTTGGATATAATACTCGACGAATTTCGGAATAGGGGCGGCCGTTACGTTTTTTAGTTCCACTCTTCTTCTTAGTTCCACCTTTTCCAACACTGCTGCCATAATAACCCATTCTGTTGTGGTAGTTATTCCGGTAATGATTAAATGGATTGTGATGGCCATAATAGGGAACAACAGGATTACCATAGTCCTGCAACTGCTGTAAACCGCTAATCAGTTGTTTAAAAAATAATGCCCGGCTCACATCAATGGAGCAGAATATTAATAATAAAGTAACGAGTACAACACTTTCCTTCAATTTCATTTTATTGAATTTGAAATTTCCGTTGGGTTCCTTCCACCTTCAATGTAATTTTGGGAATTGTTAATTTTCAAATGCGTAAAGGGTTATTTAAATGGAATAACACAATTTCAAACCAATTTTAATACAAAATAAATGATTTGGGAATATAAAAAAATAGTTTTCAAAACTTTTATTGGTTACAACATTCAGGGTGATTTACCCGTCTGTGTTATTCACGCAATGGTACTATTATTTCCATTTCTTTTCTTTCATTGAATTTTTGTTTGTTTTTTTTCCAGAACTTCTTAACATATCTTTGATCGGTTTAGTGTTGTTTTCAAACAAATAGAACAGTTATGTCATCTTTGAATCAGTGATTCACTGACACGTCGTGTGTGTGTACTTTTCCATAATACGATTTGTGGTCGAAGAAAAAGAAACGGAGCCAAACAAAAAACTTCGTTCTACATTTATAGGTTTGTAAAATGTTGACCCCTTGTGGGGGAGGTACCAGAAGGAGAGGAAGGTGGGTCTCACCTTCGATATATGCAAAGTTATCATATTTCAATGAAATTTGATATACTGCTTTGATATATTGCTTTATATGAGATTTAAAACTTTTCAAAATGTTGAGAAGGAGTGAAACGTCAAGTCCCATCTTACAACATTATACAGACATGATAAAAATATTAGGTTGTGTAAAGTTTGGTTCAAATCGGATAGTCCATTCATGAAGTTACAAATCTAATTTTCAGCAACAGTTTGACCATTTTATGTGGAAGGTACCAGAAGGAGTGCAACAATATTCCCCTTATACGAACGCGATTTAAATTTGGGAGAAATGTTACGATGTAAAAAGTTTGGAGGATGTCGTTTACTCCCTTTGGGAATTATCGTGCCCACCAGCCAGTCAAATTGACGGGCATTTGCAAATCGACTCTAAACTTCAATTTTATATCAATATTCAATTAATTTTAATTATAACTTTCATATGACACCACTTTCATTTGAATACCAGCAATACGAAAGCCATCGTCTGCGCCATCTATTGATGGACATGGTTCAAATCATGCGAAAGTTTTTAAGTCCACCCTTCCAACCGTATAACTTTGGAACAGTTATGGAAAAGACAAATGAGGTTTACATTTTGCACCCACCCGTTCAATAGATGGCGCTGACGGCAATTGTTTGCTAGTGCTGCCATGTTTAGGGGAAATCATTGGTATTTTAGATTCTACATAACTTTTGAAAGCGTAATGTGATACAGAAATAATTTATATGAAATATATATATTTAGCATGATGCAATAATAAGGTGATGTATGAAAACAAAAACATTTTTTTTGTCTCGATTATCTGTCACATTTTCCCTTATAATATTTCAAAAAGTTGGCAGCATTGCACATCGAATTCAAGTAAAATTGACCACTTTGACAGTTAATCAAGACATCAGCTGCTCTAAATGGACTACCTATTCATTGTGCCATGATACTTAGTTTAGAACATGCTGTATTCGACAGTAAAAGAAATAGTTTGACAGAGTTGCCATGTTAAAAGAAAATTACAGTTTTATAGGAATCTTCATAACTTTTGAATATTTCATTCTTTGACAATATTCACGAAAAATTAAGTTTCATGTTACAGTTAATTGAAACTAAAAATTACTTACTTACTTAGCTGGCTTGTTACAGAACGGTTGTTCCATAAGCCGAGCTTAAAAAAGATTTCCAAGCGCGTCGGTCTTGTGCGCAAGTCCACCAATTTGGAAGACCACGTTCCAAGATGTTGTTTTCTACTTGGTCTTTCCATCTAATTCGTGGCCTTCCCCTTCTACGGGAACCATCAGTAGGCTCATTTTTATATGCCTTTTGAGCTGGGGCATTTTCATTCATCCGCACAACATGCCCTAGCCACCGTAGTCGCTGCAGCTCAATACGACTGACTATGTCGATGTCCGCGTATAAATTGTAAAGCTCGTGGTTCATTCGACGCCGATATTCACCATCGACGCAGATCGGCCCGTAGATCTTTCGGAGAACTTTTCCCTCAAACACCCCAAGAGCTGCCTCATCTGCTTGCGCAAGTACCCATGCTTCTGATCCATATAATAGCACTGGTAGTATCAGCGTCTTGTAAAGTGTGAGTTTGGTCTGGCGGGAGGTGGCCTTGTTTCTAAACTGCTTACTTAGACCATAGTAGCATCTGTTGGCCATCACAATCCTTCTCCGAATTTCAAAACTGATGTCATTCGTTTTATTTACGGCGGTACCAAGGTATATAAAGTCTTTAACTACCTCGAAGCTGTAGTTCTCAAGTTCCACAGTTGATCCGAGTCTACTGGACGTCTTGCGCGTTGATACCATCAGCTTGGTCTTCTCGCCGTTTACTGCCAGACCCACTTTAAACACCTCTGGCTTTAAACACCTCTGAACGGAATTCTTTTCCATTGTGCTTCTATATTACTATTATCGGGGCAAGAAGTGCTTTCTTCAAGCAGATGGGTAAAAATTATAAAATAATATTTCGGATGAATTGTCCATTTTCGAAAGAAATCCATTATTTTTTCGACAGATGGCTCAACTGATAGATTTCTCGAAAAGTATCGATCAAACAATTTCAGATTTATACACGTTGGAGGAAGGGTGAGATTTCGCAGTAAAAACAAATATTTTGCTTTTTTTTGGTGCAATCAGTTGTGAGTTACAGGGTGTTAAAAATGAAAGTGAACAAAGAGAAAATTCGGTACATTTTACATTTTTTCTTTGACAAAGGCGAAAATGCAAGCCAACCGGCTAAAATTGCGAATGGTGTTTATGGTTCCGATACTGTTCGACAGATGGCTCAACTGATAGATTTCTCGAAAAGTATCGATCAAACAATTTCAGATTTATACACGTTGGAGGAAGGGTAAGATTTCGCAGTAAAAACAAATATTTTGCTTTTTTTTTGGTGCAATCAGTTGTGAGTTACAGGATGTTAAAAATGAAAGTGAACAAAGAGAAAATTCGGTACATTTTACATTTTTTCTTTGACAAAGGCGAAAATGCAAGCCAACCGGCTAAAATTGCGAATGGTGTTTATGGTTCCGATACTGTAGCAGCCAATTATGTGTAATTTACGTTCAGAAATTTTTGATGTTAAAGAT